AAAAAAAAAAAAGAAAGAAAAAAGTGGGACACTAAGATTAAGAGTGTGGATAATGGAAGCCCTATCCTAGGCAGGGGTGGCACTAATCAATAGGCTTGTGGTCTGGATGGACTATAAAGGGACAGAAAGAAGGCTGGCTACTGCCACCATTGCCCACTGCTGCTGCTGCTGCTGCTACTTGCTGCCTGACATACCATGAGTTCTTTCTCCTTTGTTTGTTTGTTTGCTTTTGTATTTTAGGGAACGGTCTACAGGGTATTCATGGTCTCACTACTAGATTGGACTTGTAGTGATCCACCTGTATACAGCTTCCCAAGTGCTGGGATTACCACTACACCTAGTTTCAATTGCCATCTCAGCACGGTACATGGGTAGGACCAGCACTGCGGGCCCGGGGATTGATCCCTGGCCCCTGCGCCCACTTGCAGGTGCTTTAATCAGCTTGATCTATTTGGAGGGCCCTTCTTTCTCCTTTGTGATGTCTCTATGCTGTGCTACTTTGCCTTGGAACCCATCAACTATGGACTGAAACCTCTACAAACTGTGACCTAAAATAAAACCTTTCCTCTTTTAACTTGCGAGTGCTGAGTATTTTGCCTCAGCCACAAGAAAAATAACTAAAGCAGTAGTTCAAGAATCTAAGCATTATTTAAATGGGTCCCCTGCTTCAGGCCTTTTCAACAAAAGTGTTGCTTATAGTACTCATCTCAGAGCTCAGTGGGCAGGAGTTGGTCCTGAGTTCACATGCTTGGTTCCAGGGTACAGTTCCACATGGACTCCCAGAGTAAGGGCCTCTGTTTTTTACTGACTGCTGTTCATAAATTCCCTGACAAATGGGCATCCCAAATATGCCAGTCTCTTTTTTCACAGGACATAAGCCAAGAAAGCATAAGAAATGCATACCTGGCAAGGTGGAAGTCATAATCACTTGTAATCTAATCATTAAAGTGACATTGTGTCTTCTTCGTCACATACTACTGACTAGAGTCAAGTCACAAAGTCTAAAATCCATTCAAGGGGAAGGAATTACTCACATGTGGATATGGATACCAGAAGGTAGGCATCACCTTAGAAAGCCAGTTACCTGAAGATCAAGTAAAGAAGAAAGGAGAAAGAGAGCTGCGTTAGGACAGCAAAGAAAAGTATAGAATACAGAAATAGCTCAGGGTTGAAAATTAAAACTAATAAAAATAAGCCCAGCAGCAGCTCAGTTCATGAATGCTTTGAACACTTGTTTGTGAACAAGTTGGTTTGCAAATAGATGTGTTTGGGAAAATCTTGTTTTTCTTTAAGAACTCTGTACTGGGCAGGAAGCAGGACTTGCGCCATCTTTCCTGAAAAAGCACAGTTGTGGCCAGAATCATAGAACAAGTAAGTCATGAACTGAGGAACCACTGGGGTAAGTGGTGGGACGTGGACGTGTCTGATATCCTCACAGCATTTGTAATCCACAGTGTCTTGCCCTCATTTCTGGCCCTGACAGGAAGCTGGAGCTAAGAAGATGGCGACTGCGAGGCTTAAGGGCGTTCACGGCACTGCTAGCGTACTACACAACTGCTTGAGAAAGAACATGGGAAACACAGGTAGTGGAGTGGAGGGGGAGAGGAGAGGCAAGAGAAACTGAAGGAAACTTCTCTGGGCATGTATGTTCAGGGTCCTTCCTGGAAGGACGCTTTCGTCAGGGATATATCAAAGCTTCAAAAAGATTTTTTTTTCAAAAATTAAAAAAAGGAAAAGAAGAAGAAGGGAAAAAAAAAAAAGGTTGGGGATGGAATCAGGTCATGAACCGGATCTGGAGTGAGATATCTGCAAGAAGTTAGCAAATTCCGGCAGAAAAAAAAAAAAAAAAAAGCCTGGTTTTGGACAGATTTTTTTTTTTTAAATGCAATGCTACCTAGAACAAAGATATGAGGGAGAAAATGGCAAAAATTTCTTAGAAACATTTACTAAAATAAAATTTCATTTAATACTTGTGTTGGAAGTGATTGCAGGAGTTTGCGGAGCACTCGCTCGGTATGCTAGAAGGCAGTGGGAAACCTGACCGTGTGTGGGCGGCAGGGCGGGGAAGGAACAGGCAGCTTTCTATCAGTGTGTTGGTTCGCTTTGCATGGAAGTAGTACCGCGGGCCATACTCAGGAAATACTCTTATCTCCAGTGCTGATGGACGCCTCTGAGAGCAAGCTCACATTTGGTGGTGGGCCAGGAATTGTGGCCAGCGCTTGAACAACAAGCAAAAACTATGCAACCAACTCACAAGTGTTAGCAGAAGTGAGCACGGGCTGGCCCAACAGGAGTAAGGATTCAGGACTACAAGCCGCCCAGGTACCCTCCTTTCCATCCTTCTCAGGAACCAAGGCCCCACACCCCAAGGCGCTGTCTCACTGTCCTCAAAAGCACTCTCCTCCTGTAAAATTCTACTCATCAGCAGAAAAGGACTCAGGTGGTTCACAACCTGAACTTTATTTTCTTAGCAGTTTTTCAGAATGAGAGCGTATTGGCGACAGCAGGAAATACCTGTTCAGTGCAAAGGGAAAAAAAGAACTTAGGATGGGCATCTTCGCCACATCACAAAGAAGTTAGTTCATAAGCAATGCTAATTTCTCTAGCTTTTAGTGAGGAATTACCTTTGACAGGATGGGTGTTTCAGAGACCTATGCCCTTTGAGTCAAAAGATGAAAGACCATTTCTCCCATACCTGCAAGCTATTGGCGTCTCACCCACCAGCCCCAGGCGCCCTAGCTTACGCATGTCAGTCTCTTCCTGTAGTACATAGTGTGATGTTTTGAGGTTCACCCTTCCAGGGTATCACAATAACTTTCAGGGGTTAATGAGTAGCTTTTCGTTCCCCCGCTTCATTTAATTGTCCAAAGGCCAGCTGGGCCTGGAGTGTATAAAGCTGCAAGCCAGCTAATGAGCGGATTCTCCTTGAGCCAGCCTGGAAGTGGAGGAGTGGCAAGGTCAGGCCGCTCCGATCCAAGGAGCAGGGATGCAGAACAGAACTGGCGTCGTTCTCTGTGCTCTGCCGCTCCTGCTTGGCTTCCTGATGATCTGCCTGGGAGCCTTCTTCCTTTCCTCTGACTCTACGTTCCAGTGTCAGAAGAACCGGGTCCTAGCATATTTGCTTCTACTTCTGGGCTTTGGGATGCTTCTGAGTGGGATTTTCTGGTGCACCTACCAGCAAGCGAGCAGGAGCAAAGGGGTGTTTGGTCATGTGCTCAGACAGCACAATGCTCACAGGGACCTGCCCCTGGCCACGGTGGACAGGTAGGTGCTAAGAGGCAGCAGGAATGTCAAGAGCTGAGGTGGGCTGAGGTAAGGGAAACTGAGTGGTTTCTAGCCCACTGGGGGAATGACTTACATGTCCCATGGACCTGTATGCCTAGAGCCACAGCTCTATTGTTGGGCAATGACTCTGGGGCTAATCATTAGTGACCATGTGGTGCTGCCTTTGGGGAAAGACCTTGAGGGAAGGGGGATTTTCTTAAAGAAGCACCCCCAACCCCACTGTCACTCTTGTTGAACAATCTGTAAAGCCAATCTAAGCGGCCCAAGCTCTAGGTTCTTGTATCCCTGAAGCTGTCATTAGTCAGAGGCAGGCAATGGTTAGCTGCACCCTATAACCTGGTCATCAAATAATAAGGCAAACAAATCCCAGACCAAATTGTGCTACCTAACCTATAAGCATGCAGACAAAACCAGTCCTGCATTCTCTATGAATCAGGGAATTCCCAGCTACTGTCCTCATAGGTGTTCTGGTCTCAAAGAGTCACTCAAGGAAGGGTGATCATATCCTACAGAGAAGATTCAGTTCATCTCACATGTCAGGCCAGCTGTTATCGAGGCAAAGCACGTGCTGTCAAGGACAGAAAGACGGTGGCACTGTTGTGCATGTTTGGTAGGGATGTAACACGATACTGCCAGTGTAAAGACACTTGAACTATCAAACATAAAATTACCATTCGATCCAGCAATTCTATTCTAGGTATATACACAGAAGGACTGAAAGCAGGACTTGAAACACATGTGGATCCAACAGTATTCATAGCAGCACTGTTTATGAACCAGAACCAGAAGGTGGCAACAATCCAAAGTAGATCAACAATGAGTGGGTAAACAAAAAGTGTATGCGCACAGCAAAGTATTACTCAGCCATAAAAGGAAATGCAATCCTGATGCATGCTACGACACAGAAGAGCTTGAAAAGATTATGCTTAGTGAAGTTTGTCAGTCATGAAGGACAAATATTGTATGATTCTGCTTACGTCAAGTACCTATAGCAGTCAAACTCACAAAGTAAGACAGTGGTTCCTAGGCCAGGAGAAGTGGTGAATGGGATATTTATTATCTAATGACTTTGCGTCAGTTTAGGGCGATGGGAAAGTTTCAGCAGTGGTTGTCTAACCATATGACTCTACTTAACATGACTCTGTGTGCATGCAAAATAGTATATATTATTATATATACAATATATATTATATATGTAAGTGGCTCCACCATAGGATTAATATTACCACAAGAAAAAAAAAAATAATTTTGTTAACCTATGGGTCAGCTGACCATAAACCTCTTAATTCTTGGTTGAACTCAGGATCATTTAGATAAAAATCTCAGTGTCACCCTTAAGGTGTAGCCTGTGAGGGTCCTCAGGATGCAGGCAGAGGAGCATCTATGATGATCTACCTACTTAATCTTGAACACAAATAATCTCACCCATAGTGGTCCATCTCTGACAGCCATTATGACAACAACCCAAACTCATTTCCTATGTTTATTAGAGAAACCAGTCTGATGGAAAAATAAGAACGTAAGTAATTATACAAGATGCATCTAGAATGATGACTTCTATCTTGGGGTAAATGTTAGATGCTAAAAGCAATTACATGCCTTTAGGATGTAGCATCAATTTATTAACACATGCATAATATTACATTGACTGTACTGGAATACTTGAAAGTGAATCATGGATAACATGATGCCCATTTTACTGCCTTTTCTGTTGCATTCTCAGATGCTCGGCCTCTCAGGGTGGCTAACGAGTCAAACTGGAAAGTTCTATTCCTTGGAAGTTATGCACTCAAATAGGGAGCCAGGTAGAGATCCTAAGGCAGGTTATTCTCCAAAGGTGGAAGTCAGTGGCCTGGGCGTGAGCATTGCAGTGGGTGGCGGGAAGCTTGGACTGAGAGAAGTCGATGGTTCTTGGGGCCTCTCAAACTGCTCGAAGGAATGGCTCACTTTCCTGTCCCCAGGGTCCTTATACGCGTCCCATGACTCAGCATTGGATGTTCTGAGTGAAGGTTGAAATTTATCCTGTACAGTAGGCATCTCCCTCAGATATGTGGCTCTGAACCAGTGGCAGTTGGAATGGAGCTGTGGCCACAAATGGCAGTCCCCGTCATGTTGTGGTTACACACCATAAACACTCCCGGTAGGCACTGGACCAACTTGATCTATAAATACTCATTGCAACCAGGCTCGCGCCCTGGCTCTGCTCCTCATCTCTGCCCTACCACCAATCCCATTCATGATGGGGAAGCCAGAAGGATTTAGCCATGAGCAATGTCGGACAAAAGGACCATTGGGTACCTCAGCCCTAGTGTGGATGGCTTCTCCAGCCATGGGCCTGTTGGCACAGAAAGCCTGCAAATGAAGTCTGCATGAAGTTGTTGGTGTTCAGTTTGCCAAGTGAAGGTGCTTGCAGCCTTTCTTTAGAAACTAGCTGGTGGGACTTGAAAGAGTTTTAGGGAAAAAGTGGCGTGGCATCTGGTACAGTTCAGGACCTGTGTATAGTTGGTTTTCATCAGTTATGCTGCTGTCTTTGAAAATCTGAGACAGTGGAGCAGAAAATGATGTGTGTGATGGGAACAAGAGTGTGAATGGGCTAAGAACTGACTAGACGGGGCTCCAGGCAGAGCCCATGTTCCCTCCACTGCTAAGGGTCTCACACTGAATGGCTCTGTTCCTATAAGTGAGTAAGCAAGAAGAAATAGACTTGAAAAAATATATACATAGAGAGAGGAATGTATCCCATGTCTGGGAAAAGGTTCTGGTAGGGCGCCTATTTTTGTTTTAAGCACCTGATGATGTCAGAAAAAAAAAGCACGTGTTCTTTGTTTTTTTGTTTTGAGTCAGTGTTTCTTTGCACAGTGTTTCTTAGTTACGCTTCCTTCATACAGTGTGAGTGGGAGAGCAGACACAAGCCCCTGACCCGAACGCTGACATAACACACGTCTGTGTTTGACATTCTGCCTGACAGGCCGGACTTCTACCCTCCAGCTTATGAAGAGAGCCTCGCCACGGGGAAACAGGTGCGCGCTGCCCACGGCGAGGCCTGGGGCGCCCCTCCTCCTCTGTACGTAGAGGTGGGCCTCGAACTCATGGACGGAAATGAAGCCTACGCAGAGACCCCTCCCTCCTACCAGGAGTCTGTGAAGGTCTCCGAGCCTGCAGCGACTGCGGCAGATGCTGCGAGACCAAGCCCAGCACTGAAGGCTGGCCTTGCGCTCCAGCCCGCCGAGTGCACCCGCGGGGGCCTCAGCTTCTGGTGTGCGCGGCATGCCTGAGCCACCGAGCGAGCTGTGCGACCACCACGCAGCTCCACTGACCCGCTCGCCCACGCAGGGCAGCCTGGGGCCCTGGCAAGGCACAGCCGGTGCCAAGCAGACACTTTAGAGGAGTCCCATTGATTCTGAGCAAGAGGAGCCTTGGGACCACCAAAGTGGCGTCCAGCATGGCTCTGGCCTCGAGGAGGCTTTCTGTCCAGCCTGGCTCCCCCTTTTTGCACTCAGCCCCCAGCTGGAGGAACGCAGAAAGCTGGTAGGGACAGCCCTCGCCTCCACACGCTGCACTACCTGAGAATCACTAAGAGAAGGTCCTGGGAAGAGGAGGTCATTGCCTTTTAATCTGTTGCTCAGCATTTTGTTCGCTGGCTTCACGACTCCCTGCTTCAACCACGTTACCAGAGCAACGCAGTCATTCGCATCACAAGAGACACCCTTAGAACCCAGGAATGTTATTTTGTACCATTTTATTGTAATTACATGTGGCTATTTTTCTAGTATTAAAGGGAAGGTCTGTACTTGCTTTCAAAATGATTCAAACATTTTGAGTGAGTTATTTTTAAAAGAGGTCTTCATGCAAGCCTATGCAAGGTTTCTTACAGATTAAAATTGAATAGACAGAGCGCTGAGTTCATCATACAGAGTTCAACATGAGGGGAATTTGCATTAGCCACAGATAACATTAATACACAATTTGACATCAATCACGTGAAGTTTTAAAACTATTGATATGTAATGCAAAGCATCTCCTTACAAATCTCTAAGATCTAAACAGTGACTCCAATGACATACTTCCACTATTACTAGGAAATTCTTTATGTCTCAAGATAAAGCTTTTAACTTCTAGACCGAGGACACTTATTTTAATATCCAGTGTCATCTGTTTTTAAAAATCTGGTACCTCCTCAGTTGTCTTATATTTGATAGTAATTTTAATGCAGAAGGAGAAGTCTGGTAATAGAGTACTTGGAAAAGCCACAGCTCGATGCCTTTAAACTTGGACAAGGGTATTTGTCTCTCGGGGCCTCCACTTCCTCTTCTGCCAATGAGGTACTTATGCAGAAAACGCCACCTAAGTCGTGGCAAGCCTTCTGTAAGACAGGCTCTGTGCTGTGGACTCACGAGGATCACTTTTCTCTTATTCCATCTTTAAGAGACAGGCACTGAGGTTGTTCCCATGTTGCAGAGGCATAAAACTGAGGTTTAGGGATGACAAGCAGCGTGTCCAGCAGCGCATGGGAACTTGCAGGAGGAAGCATGAAGCCGAGTATGTAGACGCATGGGGAGCATGCGTCACTAAAATCTCTTTAAGCCCTTGGGGAGGAAGCAGAAGTAGCTTCACAGTTAAGGGACTTCTCACTTAAAATGTAAATACAAAGTGAAAACAATCAAGATTCAGTATGTATATATACTAGCACCCCAAGACAAATATATTTATTATGCATCACAAGCATGGACGAATAAACTGTTCTAAAGTTTAAATATGCCTGGGCCTCACCCTTCTTTTCTGGTCACTGTTCTCATAATAAAGGCTACATTAATGGGCAACAGTCATAGTGACTGGCACACAAGAAACTCCCCATAGCTGGAGGAGGTAGAGGGT